CACATGTAAGTGGTGTCACTGAGTTAACTAGACATGATGGTGACAGAGCTGTGTATAAATCCTGACTGCCTCAAGTGACATGGAAAATGGAATGTGTTTCTTTGTGAAGTGAACTGAAGTGAAGAGATGTTTGGATAAAGAATGCCGAATATCCTTCCTCTGCCTGTTTACTTTGTCATAGTCTGCTCTATAAAATTATTTTCTCAAAACAACACTCATTTCTATTTTGAGGGACTTGCTAAAGGAAAGAGGAATAATTTTGGATAGACTGCAGAAAAAAAAACTATGGATGGTAAAGGGTTCTGATGGTATGACCTACTGGGAACAAGTCCTACACATACCAAGCAACACAGAGATGAATTATCTCCATTCATGTTTATGAATTGCCAGAGATGTTTGAAATAAATAGTGCCTCTTTATTATTCAGTCTCTTCAATCCTGCATAAGTCTGTCTAACAGGATGGGAAAACATTTAAATGGAATCATTAGTCTTGACAATTGAACATCACAGGCTTATGAGGCATTTTTGAGAAATAAAATACATGCAAAAAATAAGCACATTTTAAAATGGAAATGGTAAAAAAGAAACACAATTTAAAAAATATGTAAAAAACATGCTTTAGTGTATGGGGAAATCGTATAACTGATATAAAAGGTGTAATTTAATGTGCACATTGGAAATACTGCTAGAAATTTACATAATATTCTGTGAGATAAATAAAACAAATCCTTACAACCCGACAGGAAATAAGAAAAGAGTAGAAAATGTAGGCAGCAAAATCAAGTAAGTGATTTTCACATCCATATCTCTGGTATATAACTCAGTGATTTGCAGTGCTTGGTTGCAGGCTCAGACACCAGAGAGTTGATTCACCCAGGAGAGCAGCCAGATAAAATCACAAGGGGGGTGGGTGTGTGACTGATGGGGTGAGGTGCCCTGCCACCTGTTTGGCCTTGGGCAAGTGGCATGGTCCCAAAATCCTGCAGAAGCAAGGAGTGCTGAGCTACATCTGAAGATCATCATAGGTTGGACCAACTTGACAGCACATATTTATCTTCAATATGCATCTCCACACAGATGTATCTATTTAGCAATAGGGGCACACTTATTTTCTAGTGAAAAATACTCACTCTATTTTAGTATATGGTATCTCTCGTAATTGTTCTTCAGATAGACCAGATGGATCAACAAGTTCTTTTCTTGAAAAAGATTAGATAGAAAAGAAGTTACAAAATCATGTGTGAAAAAAACAGCTGTATTTTTCAACAGTACAAAGGTCTCCACCCCTGCAGAAATACTTACTGAATGTGTTTCCATAATTCTTCCTTTGCTTGCACATCTGGACTTCTCCTATATAAATACAAACAAGAAAATATATCTGTCACCATGTCCAAAATCTTGGATTAACACAAGTGTCGGGAATTGTACCCAACATGAACTGTGATTTAACTGGCTAATATTTCAGCAGAGCTGAAGCTACCAACATGAATTTGACCCAACTCCAGGAGGCAGTGGAAGACAGGAGGGTCTGGCGTGCTCTGATCCATGGGGTCATGAAGAGTCGGACACAACTTAGCGACTAAACAACAACAACAACAGGTTCAAATCTTCATCGCACAGAAATGTCATCTGTTTACTAAGTAGTTGTGAGCTGACTCATAATTTGCCTTCGATCAGGCATCAACAAAAGTACACATATAAAGGCACATCACATGTATTTGGCTAAGCTTCAGATAAAATGGACCATTTCAGCTTCCTCTTAGTGGTCTTTAGAAAACCAATGTTCTCAGTGTTGTTGGGGTGGTGTGTGCTGAGGGGGGCAGGGTTAAGATGCAGTTGTTCATGTTTAGTCACCTAACAAATCATATTCTAAAAAAGAGAATATTGTACTTCCACAAAAGTATTAATACTACCTTCACAGAAAGGTAATCTGATAAAAGAAACCAATAGCCCAATTTTTCTTATTCTTTTCCCCAGAAGATGTCGAGACCAAGGGCTTATGTTAATTTGTCTTGTGTTGTCTTTCATCTTCTTCCTGTGTGTCCATGTTCGCTCTTTCTTCCCCCCACCCCCACTTCTGAGTGCTTTTGCCTCTTCCTAAGGCAGAAGGCTGATATATTAGTGATCACTCAGGGGTGGAGTAGGGGGAGGTGTCAGAGTATCTTTCAGCTCTTAATCCTGAGCTGCTTTCTTCTTTCATTAAGTCCCAATTCAGGCAAAGCACCAGCTGTGAACTCCACATTTATCCCAAGGGACTGGCATCCTTTTCTGAATCTGTAATAATCAGGCACTAGGGAAGGGAAAAGCAATGTGTATTTTTTTGAGGAAGACTTGAGGGAATGGCTTTGATAGTGCTGATGTCTCAGCTACTATGGCAGGCAAAGCTCCACACTCAGTGCTTAGCTCAGTCTTGTGCTCATGTACCATGGCTTCTGATCTAGATGAGACTAGGTTAGTCCGTTCTGAAAAATGAAACTAGGGCTCATGGTCCCTTTATTGGCAGCAATCACAGGGACAGAGTAACTAAGGGGCTAGATCAAAAGTCTCTCCAACTTTTACTGTTTTTTAAAGCAACTTTAATGTTTTTATCTGCATTTAACAGCACAACTGTGATGAATAGTTATTAGTTACATTTATATCTCATACTCTGAGTCCCATTGCTCCTCTGAAGCTACCCTGACATGAGTGAGATAAACAAATTGACCATTTGAGGTGGTAAATGCTTAATCTCTTGGTTATTGTGGGTTTTCCCGGTTGTTTGGCTGTATTCTTAAGGCTTTTCTTCCTAATGTTTTGCCAAACTCTGTGGGCGGCATCTTCAGAGGACAGGAGTCAGAACTCTGTACTCTGTCTGTACTCTAGAGTACAGAGTTCTGACTCCTGTCTTCTGAAGATGCCTCTGTAGACAAAAAAACCCATCCACACAGACTGCCAAAACGTTAGGAAGAAAAGCCTTAAGAACACGGCCAAACAACCTGGAAAACCCACAACAACCATTGGATCCTGGCCGTGAAAGCCTTCGAGAATATGCTTAATCTCTTGTTTTTGCTTTGAAAGAACTGGGCTTTACTAATGACTAACATCTGTTACAAAGAGCAAGACTTAAAAAGTACATCCTTTAAGGACAGACAGATTAGAGAGAAAGGTTAATATGGTTATGGTCTGCCTAATATAACAGATTGCCTATATTTAAACCTATACTGAAAAATAGCTAGGTAGCTGCTGTACATTTTATCCTAATTGCCATGAGCTGTTCTGTCAAACAGGTGGACTTCAACAGATGGGAAACTTTGACATCTGAGCGCTCAGCCTGGAGGCAGGAGGTGCAGCATGGCCTCTCCCAATTTGAAGAGACACTTGTTCAGCAGGCCAAGGCAAAGAGGCAGTTGCAAAACCAGCAAAATCAGGGAGCTGGACAGGAGATAGATTGTATTTGTCTTCAGTGTGGGAAGGGATTGTCACTCTCGAATTCGCCTTGTCAGCCACACTAGACGTTGTTCCAAGACCTCTATTCAGAGCACGTTACCATAGTCTCTTGAGACTGAAGGATGCCTATTGTTCTGTCCAGAGAAGTAGGCAAGAAGCACTGAGGATGCTTCCAGACAGCTAGCTCTTGCCATTATACATCAGTACACATTGAACATCTGCTCCATCTTCCTCCCCTAGACAGATCTGCTGTGATAAGAAATAAATGAAGCTGTTGGGAGAGACCTATACAAGGTAGCATTGTCTGGATCCCCTGTATAATGCCATGCATGAAGCAACAGAATTGCACAACAAAGGCTGCATCTGGAAGCCACATATTTTTTGGCCTCGGACTAAATCTAATCCCAGCCTGCATCACTGATGTAGCTGTGCTAAAGGCATGCCTGTATCCCAGCTTTCCTACTCTGTAACCAGCTCATCTGCACAGTATGATCACTTTGGAAGCACTAGTCAGTGCACTCACAGTCCCTTATAGGGAAAACTAAAATAATCAAAGTAGCCCAAAGTTGCCTAAAGTAAGAAAAAACTTGTATCACAGACACTCAATAATGACTACTCCATATGCTCTGCCTTTTAATTGGCAATGCAGAAACCTTAGTGTTACTGTTGCAGCTACAGCATCTCACTAGAATCACATTTTTGCCTTGTAGTGTAAAGCAGGTCTGCACAGCTTAACAACCAAAGTTCAAGAGCCCACTAGGCATTCAATAAACCACTATTTTTGCTGCCTGCACAGGAGGGCAGAAATGAGGACAGAGGACAAAAACATCTGGCAGACTAAAATACATCATTGGTGGCCTATATTAAGTATGAGGAGTCACTAGTTGGGCTGGCCTGCTACTCTAAAGAAAACATTCAGTACATTGGGATTGTGTCCCAAATGGGCAGTCTTGTTTATTTTTATTCTCACTTTAATTTATTTTAAAACATAAACTTTAACCAGCCTCCTACACCAGTCATCTCTATATTACTTTTGTATTTATATTGGTAGCTTTATTAACAATTCACATGGATCCATGATTAGCAACGAAATATCATTTTGAACCTTCAACTAACTATGGAATGTTTATGGCCATCTTTAATTCTACAAAGCCCTTTGGCTACACAGATGTTTGACTTGAACTTCTATGAACCCTGCAGCACTAAACCATGTACAGTACACGTAACTTTTTTATGTTCACTCTCCCCACAAGGAAACAAATTTCTGCTTTCTCCTAATTCGTAGGCAAATACTATAGAGAGGAAGGGAGGGAGAAAAGGCTCTGAACATTTTGATAACCAGGTTTTCTTTTTTTCTATGTGATAATACCACTGATTTCCATGGGCTTAAAGGTAAAGGTTCCCCTTGACATTTTAGTCAGTCGTGTTCGACTCTAGGGGGCGGTGCTCATCCCCGTTTCCAAGCCATAGAGACAGCATTTTGTCCGAAGACAATCTTCCGTGGTCACATAGCCAGTGCGACTTAGCCACGGAACTCTGTTACCTTCCCACCGAGGTGGTACCTATTTATCTACTCGCATTTGCATGCTTTTGAACCACTAGGTTGGCGGGAGCTGGGACAAGTGATGGGCGCTCACTCCATCGCGTGGATTCGATCTTACGACTGCTGGTCTTCTGACCCTGCAGCACAGGCTTCTGCGGTTTAGCCCACAGCGCCACCACGTCCCTCTCCATGGGCTTAATTCGCTGTAAATACATTTAGGACTGGGGTTGTATCATCTTCCATTAGTGAAGTAGCTGATGCAAAGCAATCTGCACACAGGAAGTCCCAAGTTCAATCCATGCCATGTCCTTTTAAAGTGACGGGAAAGTTCTTACATCACTCCATACATAAAACCATTCAGGCATTCAGAAAGTTATCCAGCAGGGGAGGACTGTAGCTTTACCATCTGTGTTGTAGCTCTCCATGTGCAAAGAGAGCAACAGGCTGAAGAGGAGAATCTTTGTTACAAGTGTAGGCACTTGGTCTTTCAGAGTTCCAAAGCCAAATTGTAGAGGTTCTCTTCAGACCGTTGCTTTCCACCTGATGAGAGAGATGATGGAAGGCCAGCACTACCACCAGGCAATTTATTTAGTGGTCCAATAAAGGTATCATACTAATGCAATACCTATTATTAAGTGAACTAAAAAGTCACAAGCTTTTATAAGTTTTTGAGACTTCCAGATGTTTTTATGAGACAAGGTGTTTCAAAAAGCAAGTTGGGTGCAGAAAGATAAGGAAAATAAAGAGAAGCATTTACTTTATGATAGAAAAAACACTCAGCTAACTAGTTTTCAAAAGCTACTTTATAATGATCAAGTCAACCACAAGAGGGAGCCTGTAGTCTCACTCAAGTAATAAGTTTAATTAACAAATTTAAGTTGAGCCAACATTAAACTTTTCTTAAATTCCTCTTTAGAAGAGCTGAACATGTCAAATTTTGTATGTCAAAATTGTAGCCCTCTGGTACAAGTAACTTCCAACTCTTCTTGTTCAGGCAAGATCTTCCTTTCTATCCATAAGTACAAATGAGATGAACATTTCAAATTCTTTGACGGATTTTATGTATGTATGCCCATGAGCCCTCACAAATATGTCCCCAGGGAGTTCCACTAATGTATCTGTACTTATTCTGTTTTCACTATTCAAATATAAACGTTTGACACCTAAGATACACCTTTTTCCCCACAGAACTATTTCAAGCTTAATAGAACAGACCATCCACTGGCAAATTTAACTAAAACCATGTATTTAAATCCTTCTCCAACGACATATAGCCATGAATTGAAGTCTTGGAAGAGGTACGGTAAGCACTGTATTTCAGAAATGCATCTAGAGGTAGGCACTGACATTCTGAAGCCTTTCTGCACCAAACACCAGTAAATCTGTAGACCTGTCCTTCCCCCCCATTGGAACGTATCGATCTTCTAAGATATCTACGATTATCAAAGACAAAAGGTTTTTAATCTAACCCCATTATATAGAAGAAGGATGAAACCAACAGAAATAAAACAATAGCACACTTCCTAGATTAAAATGTATGTTAATTTTAAAAAAAGTTACTCCTATTTCTTCACCTAGTAAGGTAATTCATTTTAGAATGGCTTTTCAGGAAGTACAGCCCTGTCCCTGTCAACCACCAGTGATTGTTTTAGAAAAGGCACCCTCCATTTGACCTAAGAAAAAAAGAAACAAAATATCCCCCTCTAGTGGTCTAAGGTGGAATAGCAGCTTCCCATTAGTTTCTATGGACGGAAAAGAGCAGATACGGATCAAATGGTTTTCAATGCATTCCTATGGGAAGTGCAGATTTAACCTGCAAACTTTTTGACTTGAGAACCGCCTTTCAATACGGATTAAGTTTGCAAGTCAAGACCCCACTGTAAATCTGTACACCTGTCCTCCCCCCCATTGGAACGTATCAATCTTCTACGATATCTAAGATTATCAAAGACCAAAGGTTTTTAATCTAATCCCATTATATAGAAGAAGGATGAAACCAACAGAAATAAAACAATAGCACACTTCCTAGATTAAAATGTATGTTAATTTTAAAAAAAGTTACTCCTATTTCTTCACCTAGTAAGGTAATTCATTTTAGAATGGCTTTTCAGGAAGTACAGCCCTGTCCCTGTCAACCACCAGTGATTGTTTTAGAAAAGGCACCCTCCATGAACCAGAACAACACAAAATAAGACATCCATTAATTATAGAGTGTAGAATGTGAGAGACAATGACTTCATAATATGTGTTTTGCAAACATTTTATTGCGCTGGAGTACTTCCTGCAATAAGTAGGCGCTGGACATCAGATCCCAGCAGATTGTGCAAGACACCTATTTGGTGGGACAGGAAGAATGTGATTGTGCTGGGGGAGGCCAGAGTTTGGAAACGTTTTTTTTATTATTATATCTCCCACAATCCCCTAGCTAGCACAGCCAGTGACAAGGATGAGTTTTCTCATGTTTACCACTTAAATCACACTCCTGTCAGTTCCCCAAATTACTTCTTGGCAGGTTTGTGGGATCACAGTTGTTCTGGAGACTCACATGGCATTCTGAGAAAGCAAACCAGTTGCTTTCCACAGTACAAACGGCTAATTGAGAGTGGGAGATCAGCAACGTGGCAGTGGCGGGAGAACTCGGCACGGCATACAGGGAATGGGCCTCTGCAGAAAGTTATACAGAAGGCCTCCAGGGACCATGTTTGACCAACAGGCTCTCCCACATATGTGCTGTCATGTTTACCACTTAAATCACACTCCTGTCAGTTCCCCAAATTACTTCTTGGCAGGTTTGTGGGATCACAGTTGTTCTGGAGACTCACATGGCATTCTGAGAAAGCAAACCAGTTGCTTTCCACAGTACAAACGGCTAATTGAGAGTGGGAGATCAGCAACGTGGCAGTGGCGGGAGAACTCGGCATAAGGCACAGGGATTGGACCTCTGCAGAAGGTCATACAGAAGGCCTTCTGCAGAGGCCCAATCCCTGACCAACAGGCTCTCCCACATATGTGCTGGAGGTTGTACCTACATACCTGACTGTTTAAACATAATTTCCACTACATAATATCGCTATCCACTTTGGATCTTCCCTACAGAATTTTGAACATTATGATTGTCATCTGCTAGGAACTACTGAAGTTGGATAGCTCAGTGTGGTTTAGGCACCTGGCCATGGAGTCAAGAGGCTGAGAGTTCAATTCCCCATGTGCCTCCTTGACAGGGGCTGTACTTGGTGATTCATAGGGTGCCTTTCACCTTTGCAGTTCTAAGTTCTAAATTGTTATATTGTTGTAAGAATGGATTTCAGCAGCATGCTTCTCTTCATCACAGAACAGATAACTAGCAGATTTGCTTGAACTTGATACCAAAAGATAATTATTGCTAAGGGCTCAATGTCTCATAAAATGTTAATTAACATACGATCGAGATCTATGCTTGGATCGCCGGTGGTTGGGATCAGTTTGGTTCTTCTCCTTCTGCCGCCTTAGTACTGCTTCCCACTGAGGAGCTGAATCAACCATGTCATTCTCCTGCCGTATCCTAAGAAAAGATGAACATACTGAGACTGAATGTCCAACAGATCAATATTTAACTCGTGTTCATCAGTTTCTGAAAAACAACAACATTCCTCTTGATTTCTGTGGAACCTTTCTAAAATACCACTCATTCTTCACATGCGCTAATGACAGCAAGAGAAAAGAGCGTTTGAGGACACGTGACAGCAAAACATTTGCACTATTAAGTCCAGCTAATTTTAGAGGGAGACATTTAGGCATAAGGTTATGAAAAGCTACGCTACATGAGGGTAAATCAGTTTGGTAAAGTGACTCTTTTGGACTACACCTCCCACAATCCTCTAGCCAGAGTCAGCCTCTTTGACCATGGTGAGGATGAGATGGTTGGACAGTGTCACTGAAGCTATCAACATGAATTTGACCAAACTCCAGGAGGCAGTGGAAGACAGGAGGGCCTGGCATGCTCTGGTCCATGGGGTCACGAAGAGTCGGACATGACTTAACGGCTAAACAACAACAACAAAAACTACTTTCATTAGTGGAACTGGGAGGCACTAGTTCTCCCTCTGTACCGACAACACCTATTTCAAATGTCTAGGGCACCTTCTGAAAGTTTCTGTGATGATACAGAGGGCATGAGGTAGGAGGGAAAGAGGAGAACCTTTGTCATACTTCCACAACTTTCAGTCTGGGTCTCTGGCCTAGTGCGACTGGCAGTGGCTCTCCAGAGTCTCTGACAAAGGTCTTCCTATCACCTGCTAAGCAAGAAATTGCCAGGGACCATCAGCACATAAAGCATGTGTTCTGTTAGTGAGTAAATGACTATATGATCTACCATAGAGACTATTAAGAGAAGCAAGTAATGCACCGCTTTGTTCATTTTGTTTAAAATTAAAAATAGTATACTGACACCGCTATACTTTATTATGAGAACAGGATTCCTTAAAGTGAATGCTGGAGTTTTATTCCATATACATATATTTATTTAATATGTGTCATAGAAATTGCACGCTCCTGACATGGTTTCATTGTTTACAAATTTTGCTTAGGAAAGAAAAAGAAGGAAAAAAACTAAGATGACACTATCTCACTCTTGTTTGGGGGACATTTTAAGATGATCAATACTTTTATCAGGCATAGCAGAATGAAAGATTTTTCAGAGGGGGGAAATCAGCCAGGATTATATTAGTGTGTAGTAGCCCACTGTCTTATTTGCACACTTTGTTGTACACTCAGCTGCACAACTGAGGTGCACTCTGGCCTTTCATCAGTTAGGCCAGAGCAAATTGCACAAATCCTACGGACACACCAACAGGATTCTGCCCATTTTGGTAAGCAAAGAAAAAAAAAAACTGGAGTGGATGTTGTAAGGAGCAGGTGCAGCCCTCCAAAGTTCATGGAGAGATGCATACGCCCCCTGCCCCAAGTTCTAGAAATTGCCAGCCCTGATCTAAATGATCTGCCACAGATGCATGTACCCACAATCTTATTCATCCTTTTCCATTTGCTATCACTGCAGCTAGAATTTACTGCCATTTTATGTATAACTGGGTGTATTTTACACACATTATTTTAATGAAATCTGTCAAGGACACAAAGCCTTTTGCCGTAATAATTAATATTTAATTATAAAATATTTGTCTTTAGGATAAGGAGGGATATGTATAATTTTAAAAGACCAATTAATTCTTGGGCAAGTCAGAACGGAGAAGACTGTTTACAGACACAGAACAGAAAAAATCCTATTAACAATTGTAATCCAAATATAATCCATACATCAAATTATTATTTGAACTAGAAATATTGTAAGTTAAGAAAGCTATGCGCTCTGTTTTGAATCCTTGTAGGATTTCTTAATCACCTGTGTCTCTTCTTCCGATGTTCCCTGTTAGAATTTTCTGATTCACTACCGCTGCTGGTATTACATCGGGATCGGGATCTAGAAAGGGGCAAAAAACCCGCAAACAATATTAACAAAAAATGAGCATGTTGAAACAATTTAAAACAGAATGCAGTGGGCGAATTTTGGCACAACACAATCCCTCAACATTACAGTATTTCACCTTCTCTATGATGAATGCTGTTTTCTCTTGGTTCTACTATCCCTTTGGAGATGCACAAGCTAGAGAACGTTAACATACATTCCTCTAACACTGAATTCAGATGGTGACTGGCAAGAAAAATGGGGCTAAAATGAAGACACTGAGAGAGAAGAGAGAGGCATCAAGATTCTTCAGAGAACTCCTAAAGTTTACAGAAGGATGGAACATCTTGGGTAGGAAAGGGGAAGCAAAGATACCCAATAAGAATTTGGCTCAATAATTATAGAATCTGAGTAAGAGCGTGGTTACATTAGTGAAATAGTTTAGAATATGTATTGGTGTTATTTAAATTGATTTCAAGTCACATGGTATAAGAACTGCTGTGCATGTTCCCTAGGGCAACTTTTAATCTGTTTGTTTTTGAAGGAACCAGCACTTGTTTACCCAACTGGACAGGAAGTGCTTAGCTAGCGGCAGCTGCAGTTTAGCTAACACTGCTGCTGCTGCCGCCATCATCAGGGCACTGCTTCCCCACCACCACTTGCATACCCCAACTGGCCATAAGTGCTTAGCTAGCAACAGCAGCTTAGCTAACACCACTGCCTCTGCTGCCGCCGCCATACAACTGCCTCCTATACCACCACCTGCTTTCCCTGACTGGTTTGTAAATGCTGAGCTAGCAGCAGTGGCAACTTAGCTAACGCCACATCCACAGCCATTGTCAGGTAAGAATTTGTTTGCCCTTACTGCTGAGTAAGTGCATAGCTAGAGAACACACAAGTGGCCTGCCTGCCTGCTGAACAGTTGATGAGTGCACTGCCAAACAGCTGACAAGTGAGCTCTATGGAGAGCAGATAAAAGCTCAATTTTTTAAAAAATTAAAAATATATTTCTATCTGATATAGCGCTATACCATATAGTAAGAATTTTTTAAAATTTAAAAATAACATCACAACTGCAGGGGCAAGTGGCTATGTAAGCCATCCAGCAAGAGGGCTCCTTAAAAATTAATGTTGACAGAGGTGTTCACACATGGTGAATAGACTCCACATTCAACTTAAAATAAACAGACCTCTGGCAGAAGAGTAAAAAAAGTATTGCCGTTAAAAAACACACACACAATTTCTTGTCAAATTAATCCATGCTTCCACGTGCGTCATGCATTCAACCTTTTTAAAATCAATTTAAAACAGGCTAAATCTGATTTAAATATGGGAATGTACTGTGCTCTAAGCTAGGAAAAACACAGGGATCTGAGAAGTGGGGAGAAGTAGAATGTCCCACTAGCTGGCAGGAACTCTGAACTCAAAACCTCCTACAAGTTGTTGAGAAGCATAATACTGATTTGCACTGTTAGCAAACTCTCACCTTCTTCTATGTGGCTGCCCGGGTTCATTTTCACTTCCACCTGAAGGGTGTCTCCTTCGTGAATAAGGGAACTTCGGTGATCTGTTGCGGTCATTAGGAGAATTATATAGTCCACTAGAATCAAAGAAGAGAAAGTGTAAACAAGACACCATTTCACACAGAGTGCTGCTAAGGTTACACTCCTTCCTTCCTTCGTGATCTGTTCATTAGGAGAATTATATAGTCCACTAGAATCAAAGAAGAGAAAGTGTAGACAAACAAGACACCATTTCACACAGAATGCTGCTAAGGTTACACTCCTTCCTTCCTTCCTTCCTTTATTGCTTGATTGGAATTAAATACTGTAATCTGTATGGCCAGCATGTCATTTAAAAAATGCTAAGATCTGATCAGTTACAACTGAAGGTATTACTGTTTTCACCGAACAAATACATTACACTAAACTCATAATACAAAGAAAAATATCACATAAATCTTCAGAGGGAATGCTTGCAGGACATTAATGCTATTTCCATCAATGCAGTTGCTTGCTTTAGGTATTTCCAAACCAGAACAGGAAATCCATCATTTGTTCCAAAGACATTTTTTATTAGCAATGACCTCTTGCTGAATTCTATACTTAAGCCTGCAACAACATGTTTCCTTATAACACTAGAGAAACAGCAATGTGCACTCCCTGATGAAGTCAGTAGGATTAAAGAAGCACGGCTATGCACAGAATGAATAATCATCATGTGCTATCAAGTTTAATCTGACTTATGGAAACTCTCCCAGGGTTTTCTAGGTATAACATACTCAAGACGTAGTTTACCAGTCCCTCCTTCTGGTGGCTCTCTGTGACTGCACAGCTGGGGAAGGGCCCATAACCTCATAAACCATGCACATTCTGGGTGACTTGGGCTGCCTCCTCTCCCAGGAGGAACAGAGTGAGTTTGAACTCCTGGCCCAGGCGCTCTAACCCAATGAGCTATATCATCACATGCACAGAATTAGTCTTATTATATGCAGAAATACTCCACTCACCAAGTATTTCTGATTAACATACATTAAGAAAGTGTCTAATAATTATTGATGCTATTCATATTATTTATATTAATGCCAGCAACCATAACTGTATTATGTTACAGTGCAGTAACACAAAACAAATAATAATAATAATAAAGTGGGGACATGAGATAACTGTCGAAAAGTGCAACTGAAGTTTATAGTATTGTGACTACCAGCAGAATACTATAAGATATTTGAAGAAATCTTAAGTCCACAATTCAAGAAACTAATTGAAGATATACAGACTAAAGGGGAAATTCCTAATTCATGGAAAGAAGCATATATCTCGCTAATACATAAAGAAGGCACGGATAAAAGACTAACCAAGAATTACAGACCGATTTCTCACCTAAATGTTGATTATAAGATTTTCACAACCATCCTAGTCGAAAAGGAATGCCCAGATCTTTCTAGCAACCGGCTGAATGTTCGTTCTTTAAAAAACATGCAACTGGCTTGTCACTTCCAGTCAAACTTTAAATAGACCTCAAAAATAATCTGTATGATGTATTTATTAGGCAGAAAGGCTTGTCTTACATCAGTATGCAAGATATATAAAATAAATTGTAGCAAACTTCATTTTTGCAATGGAAATATTTGATGTGTGTGTGTTTGTACAGATAAGTACCCAGTGTGGTATAGTGGAGAAAGTGACAGACTAGGACTCTGGAGATCTTGGCCATGGAAACTCACTGAGGGGGGGGGAATGGAACTGGTAAAACCACTCCTTAAATATCTCACTTACCTGAAAGCCCTTTAAGGTCAGTGTAAGTCAGTTCTCACTTGATGGTACATAACTAACTACATGTATGAGATACTATAACTGTGAGGAAGAGCAGAAGAATTGACTGCACACTGTCCCTATCATCGGTTGGGAAGAACACATTTGTTCTTGCCTAATACAGAAATGCCACACAGATCACCAGATGACTTCAGGTCAGCTTCCAGCACTCAAACTAACCTACTTGTTCATCTCCTTGGTTCCCACTAGACTAACACTTTATCATTTCTGAACAAAGATCTTTACAACATACAATACATAAAAGGAAAAATATTTTTCCCATTTAAAAACAGGCAATTATAATAGCTAACTAGGGTGCTTGTCATCAATCCGATCACAGCATCATTCAAAACAACTAAAACTGCTGCACATGTTTGTGACAGCTGTGCAGTATTATGATCCTTGACAAAATAGGAACACAACTTCTTGACTGCCAGTGCAAATTGGGCTACACCATATAAGTGATAAATAACTGATTATCACTAACCAAACAAATGTACTACTAGTTCTTCAGAGGTGCCGTTGGCAAATTACTGGATAGGTGACAAAAATGTTTTCCAAAGATCCATATAAAGGGAACAGAACAATAAATAGTTGGCAAATTACTGGATGACAGGTGACAAAAATGTTTTCCAAGGATCCATATAAAGGGAACAGAACAATAAATAGTGAGTTATATCTTCAATCTCATTGCAGCCATAGACACATATTTGTTCTGAGACTGGGGTTCCTTGATATCACACTTCAAGATATGCAGAGGGCATATGTTGGAATCTTGAGTTCTGTAAAAGCTCTGTGGAGCTGTGGGAAGGATAGGGCCTCATAGTAGTATGGCTTTGCATGGTTAACTTTAAGTTGAAGAAAATTGTGACCCAACAATGGCAGACCTGGCTGGCATCAGAATCAAAGGCCCAGTTCCTAAGAACTTGGGAACTGAGACAAACAAACCTTTCCATGGAAAGGCTATGAACCTTTAACTTATCTCAATGCCATGGTGCCCATCCTCCCATCTGCAATTGTTCCAGCTAGCAGCACTTGGTCAGGGAATGGTCCTCTCTGCTATTTAGACTACGCCAGTATCTTAAATAGGCCAAATCGATTCTGACCATAATTGAAGGGAGACCCAGCTTAGCCCTAATATGAGACGAAGGAGTCCCTGGGGAAAACCCCAGTATCTGTTTTATGAATCTGCACAACCTCCAGACTGGACTTGATTTCCTCTCCCCATATTCCTGCCCCGTAAAGCCTTTGAGCAAAAATTTTAGCAACAAAAACCCTGAGGTCAGGATTTATTAGCTGGTTTCCTCTAACACAAAAAAAATATACAGTATTCAGCTACTGTATAGATCTGGCGTCCACTAAGTTCCCACTGGAGAAGGAAGTGAGGTCCGTGAGCTGAACCAATTAATTTGGTGTACTGTCCTTCGCTCATACAGGCACATAAAAGTAAGGAAGAAGAGCTTCTGGCATACATCTTAAGGTCAAGGGGGTTGGACCAGAAGACCTCGAAGGACCCTTCCAACCTTATGACGATTATATGACAGAGATTGGCTCTGCGCATGTGTTTGTAGCTGAACATGAACATAGGTAGAAAAAGGCAAGGAGGAGAGTTAGTTTCCCTGTTCAACAAGGACAGATTATCTCATCATGTCTTCAGACATGCTTACCTCTGTGGGGAGTTTTCTTCCCATGGTGCACTGGTTTTGCTTCTTTGGGTTTCAGGGCTGCTTTCATTCCTTGACTTTTTGTAACTAATAAATACAGAAAAATAAATATATTTTTAAAAGATCTTTTATCAACAGCTAAAAGTATTTTTACACTTCCAGTCAGCTGGAATTCTTTCTGTGTAATTTGCTTATTATTATGTGCCTCATATTTGCCTGCCTCAGGGAAAGAAACCAGAGGGTCAAATAACACTGTATTTCCCCACCATCATGAGTCCGGCCCATTACATGGAGGAGAATCAGAGCATGCCTCCTCCCCACTCCACACCCATTAATCCACCATCATTACTCCCATACTTCTGCAGGGGCAAAGACCATTGAAATATACAGCCTACACCCAGAGGCTGAAGTTATGGCACAGATTATCAGATTTCTCCACACCACGAAAAATGACTTAGTGATTTAGTAGGTTCTTATGAACAACAGATCATGGGTGGACAACCTGTGAGGGTCTGTCTGGTGGCCTTGGGTCCATTTCTGCCCTTCCTCAGACTTTGGAACCATATCCACATTCAATTAAAAGTGGAAGCTGAAAAGAAAATTATATCTCCAAAGCACGATTTACCGTCTAAAGGCTATTCCAGGGCGTTGGCCCTGACATGGTCCCCCAACAGCACGTTTTAAAAACAGAAAGCAACTGTATTGTGGGCCCTCAATGCTGCACTTATTAAAGCTGTGCTTTGCTCTTTGCTGACACGGATCATATGGGGATTTTTTGTCATTACACAGATGCCTGGAGACAGATAGTAGTATATTGGGTAGAAGAGGAAAACAGGTGCACTCCTTAGTAACTTTGCATTTTAGAAATCACTCTCACACAGTTAAAAGCTCACAGGACTTTTAGTAGCATCACTACAAAATGTGTAAAATCACTTCAGAGTCAAAAGAATGGCCTCTTCCATTGTATCATTACATTGTCAAGGTGATACTTTTTCTGTCCCCAAGGCAACATTCATGTCTATGGCCAGAACTGCATCCAGTGAATCCAACTAAAATACATTGATATGAACCAAATTCGTCTGCAGACTCTTCTGCAGATGAAATGTCCTATGACATCAACATAAATCCTGTGTGCACACGCATGCATCGGAATGTCTGTGCTCAGTCTGGATTTATAAGACAGTGAAATAATGCTGGGTGGTAAATTATAAGCATTAGATGGCTAAGCTGTTTGTCATTTATACCCGGCAGCTTGACAGGCATTTCGCAGCCAAGTACTCTGTCACAGCAGCTCTCTAAATCCTAGGATTACCTCCGGAAAGTTTGAAGAGGGATGCAGTTTCAGATTCAGATTACGAAGTAAATTTCATCAGTGATTTCAGTTCATTAATTTTATTGTCCACTGAGAGATGACTTTTAGCCACTAGCAAGAGAGTAAACTTCGATGGTTAGGACTACTTGTCTTAAAGGTCATGTGGACAAACTTTTAGCAGCACTTATTAAAGCAAGGATGGTCGCTTCAAGTGTTCCTGAACCACATCTTCCATCACTCCTCATACTGCAGACACTGGCAAGGACTAACGAAGTTTCATTAGAAAAACCAACCACGAGAGAGCCACGAGTTGAGCATCCATGCGCTGAAGTACATGTGAGAGTGATTTTCAGAGCTAGAAGGAATGGCTATAGCTTTGTAACCACTCCAGCTTCAAATGCTAAGGCAGCAAGGCTCATGAATCATGGCTTCAGCCCTAGCACCTAGCACCTTACCTTCTGTATCCCCATGGCAACACGTCCACGAGCAGAACTACAGCTGAACTTGGTTACCCGGGGGCATGGCCTTAGTGGTGTTACAGGCCCCAGCAGCTGGTTCAGTGCCTATGGGAACAGCTGACCCTACCATTAGACAGAATGAGGCAGCTGCCCTGGGTCATGAAAGGGCATCAAGCATTTACCGTATATTTTAATTGGCAAGGAAGCTGAGAGTATTTTGAGGAAGTTTCTGCTCCAGGTGCCAAACAATTTGAATACCCTTGGGTACTAATGCAGTATGACTTGGGGTGAGTGGATTTGCTATTCCACTTCAGGCAGCAAAATGAACCCAGTGGAAGTTTATCTGCCTCTGCAAGCCACACCCTTTCATCCAAACATCCTATTTGATTAAATAAATGTCCAAACAGACTGATCTCTAACTGTCCATCATTCTTCAGGGTAGTTCTTGCTTTTGGCTTCCTTACATGTTTGTTCAGCAGGAGGAGGATGCTTGTTCTTCCCTGCCTTCACCTTCATTTCACCATGCTGGAAACATGACCACTGCCTAGATAAGAACATGTTGTTTTTCTCAGGCCCTGCAAGCTGATGGGTTGTTGTCTTATATTTATACTTGGAATGACGATTTCTCAATACCCTCCAAACTATTGCAAGGACTCATTTGTGAAAGAAATTATTGTGTAATAGCAAGTGGAAAGGAGCAAAAAAAAAGTCAGGCTTCAGACACAATTTTTGGCCAGAAGATACCATTTTTCACATGCTACATGACAGAAAACCCTTCCGCTCTACCAATTCTCCAGTCTCTAACATTGCAAAGGGCTCCCATGGAAACACAAACACATTTTCTATTTTGCCATCTTTATCTTTGGCACCATTAATCTCTCATATGTTTATGAAACTTTAAAATCCTTTTGGAAATATTGCTTGACAGATAACTATGCTATAGCAGATAAAGATCTGGATGACAATGTATGGCTACATTTTTATTTTAATTATTTCTCATTTTAGAATCACTTTTCATTACACAGATGTTCAATATCATTTTGGATTGCTTCTCATCCTGTATATGCTCAATATATAGTCTGTTTAGTTTTTTTGGACAAAAGTCTTTTTCCCCTTTGCAGAACAGAAGCAAGAGCAAGAAATACGGAAAATGTAAGGAGCAGCAACTGTCATGTAGTCCCAGAACTGCAAAGTGGAGATTTACAACATCTACTTTCCACCTGCTTCATGAGTAAGGTTTTCTTAAACTATATAAAGTGTCTTTTGTGAGGGCTTCAGAAAAACAAATACAGTCTGTGGCATTCAGCTCTGCTCTCACCTGTCCGTCACAGCTGGGCAGGGGAACCTCAGCCAATGAGAGGACGGAGGGTGGTGCAGAAGTGGGAGGAGCTGGGTTATATAAGGTGTGTGTGAGGAGGGTTGAGCAGATCAGTTTGAGAGATGAGTGGTTAAAGAGATTGATAGAAAGTGAGAAAGAACCTGTCAGTGAGGGAAAAGTCTGTGTGGGCTAGTGTCTGATAAACAGACACTTGATTCTATACCTGTGATTTACTCCTTTTATTTCTTGTAATCAATAAACCTTTTATTTGTTTGAAAGAAACCCTTGTCCTTTTGATTTAAAGGATAGGTTGGTGGCAGCAAGTTTTTGGTGAGAGGTAGTGAGCACTCTTAAAAGGCCTGGATTGGTAGAGGCTTGAGAATGGCCCGTTACACAGTCCTACCAAGAAACAGGAGCCACACACAAACGTTCTGCCTCCATCTCTTGTATTACCCCACAATACTATATATCACAACAAAGAGCACAAGTAATGCGGCCCTAAATCACACCAATAATTATATTTGGTGTGCAAACTGTTTTAAAACTTTCTCTCATTCCTCTCATTCCTAACATCCTGTGAGGCACTCCAATTTGTAATATGCTGAAGTATAACTAAGCTTACCTTTTTTGGTCAGGAGCACTCAGTAAGTCCACTGAAAAACACAGATTTTCCAAGTCCAAGAAGTCCAATATTTGATTCAACTAAACAAAAAAATCTACCTGAAACCTGAATCTCCTTCTTTAGACACACTGATGTGATTAAGTGTAATATTTCCCCCTCTTTTATGGTTACCTTTTTATTGGTGAGGGAGCAATGATTTTGGTAGTTCCTTCATTTTCCCCAGTTCCTCTGTGTGTAACTCCCTGGTTTGTACAATGTGAGCCTAGGGGAAAAATAAGTTTACTTTTAAAATATTAGTGACCACAAGACATCCATTATAGTACATCTGAAGTCCCTCAGGAATGATGGAGTCTTTTAAAATGAGTGTTTTAAACTGGCAAACATATTATTTTTCATATAAATATATTGCTATTTTGAGAAATGGAAGCAAACTGCAGGGTAGAGTCTCACTGGCCTCATTCTTTATAGTCACATGATTCAACATGAAGAAGAAATAAGTAATATTCTTCTGAAATATAAATTTTTGCACAAAGGCATCAGTACAGCTCAAAGACACATTGCTGAACCAGGAGACACTAATTTCCATCCTTTCAGTGAGAAGCTCTGTCTAAAATAAACTCTTGTTGTGAATATTCTACAGAATTATGTATTAACCTACATAACAGAAAGCTAGGACAAACCATCAGCATCATAGCTATGGGGAAGTGACTGAAAAGAAGGTAAAAGATGTTAGGAGGCAGGAGAACAAGGCCCTCTTTAGAAGTAAAAGCCGGTATGCTGAATAAGAAAGAATTCTCAAGAAGACATAAAAGAAAAGCTTTGAAGGTGGCACTGTAATGCACTATGCAGAATAAAGATATGTGCATAATCATGTCAATTATTCTTTAAATCATTGCACATGGTGATATTTTAAAGCTAGTTAGTGCTCTGCAGGATGCTGAATGAGGTAGTTCACACCACCACAACGTGAGACAAGATTAAATCTACATTAGCAGGTCTGCAACTATAACCAGAAACACATTTCTCTATGGCAAGCATAAAACTCCCAAAAAGAGTTGCCAGTGAAGAACATTATGCTCCATCACTGAGACTCAAACTATGAAACCTCCAGAAAGTCACCCCATGAAAGCTTCAAATGAAGTTATACGTGAATTTGTTAACTATGTCACTTTCCAAGAACTAGATGGTGAGTTAAAATCTGCACAATAAAGTATTTATTTAATATGTAATTTGACTATCAATGCAACAAGCTACCAATCTTGCTAAAAATTTCTCTTAAAAGCAAACTCAAGAGCATAGTGAATGCCAACAGAAACAAAGCGAAATCAGGACCAAATTAGACAATACCATTAACACTAAATTAGCAGCAGAATTCCTCAAAGTGATAACAGATTGGTAGTTGTCCTAGGACAGGGGTCTCCAAACTACAGCCCATGGCCCATATCTGGGCCCTTGCCTTTTTATCTGGCCCAAGCAAAGGAAGAGGAGGGAAGGGGGACTTAAGCGATCCCCCACCCCAAAGACAGCAGGGATGGGGATAACTTCCATCAGGCTTCACTCCTCTTCCTATCTCCCCCTGGGCATAGGAAGAGGAGGGAAGGGGGGCCCAAACGATCCCCCACCACCGCTGTCTTTTGCCCAGGCAGAGATAGGAAGAGGAGCAAAGTTTGAAAGAAGCCTGAGAGGTCCCCGCCCCTCCTTCAGCCCTCAAAATTGTGTAAAATATATGATGCAGCCCTCACACAGAAAAGTCTGGAGACCCCTGTCCTAGAAAGGAGCTTTCATTTTGTGATCAGGAACCAAGCATGGGTTCCATTTGCACTAAAACTTTGTACTAAACATGCAAAGGTCTGAATGATCTGGAGAAGAGAGGAGGCAGGCTTTATGTGTGTCCTTCAAATCCGCACCACAATGGAAACATTATTTGAACAGTCAGGTGAGTGCCTCAGCAGGCCTAACTTTATACTAAAAAAAAATTCTTAGTAAAACCTTCAAACAATCTTAGAGAAAAGATAAAAACTGGAAGATCTTAAACTGTAAGAAGAAAACAAGCAAAAATATATTACAGCATATCAAACACCCATACACACACACAAAGCCCAGGAATGTTAAATGCCTTATCCCAAACAACAAGGCCTTTCCAGAGGAAGTTTCTGCCTTGTTTAAACCAGAAGCTATCTAACAATTGACAAGGAAAGGAGTGCCTTCCTGACATAGTTACAAAGTGTAAATCACTTTTGTTTTTCTAATGGGGGGGAGAACAGTATCTCCCTAGAATACTTCTGAACCAAAAAGGTGATATAATTATCCAATTTGGAACACACATCAGAGAGAGTATAAACAGCATAAACTATTCCTAGGTCTTACAGACACCCAATACTTCTCTTCCGACAGTCCTTGCTAAAGGCAGTTTTTCCTAGGAGGAGAATATGTCAAGTTTCTTGTCCTATTTTTCTTTCCCAATACAGTGGTGCCTCACATTACGACGTTAATTCGTTCCAGCGAAATCGCTGTAGAACAAAAATGTCATAATGCAAAATTAAAAAGCCCATAGAAACGCATTAAAACACGATTAATGCGTTCCTAGGGGCTGGAAACTCACCGTCCAGTGAAGATCCTCCATAGGTCAGCCATTTTCATTGCCTGTGCAACGAGGAATCCATCCCAGAAAAGAGCGGGGAGCCATGTTTTTTACCCGGCGGCCATTTTGAAACCACCGATCAGCTGGCCGAAAATCATCGCTTTGCAAGAATCGGTTCCTGAAGCAGGGAACCGATCATCGCAAAGCGAAATTCCCCCATAGGAAACATTTTGCGATCGCTTTTGCGATCACAAAACCTTCAACAAAACAATTTCATCGTAAAATGGAGCGCTCATAATGCGATGCACCACTGTATTATTAAAACTCATTGGATTACATCTCTGCTGTTAACAAAACTGTCCATGTAAATATATGTGGAAATTATTAGCATTTAAATTAGTCACTTGATTCAGAAAGAAGACCTTTTCAAAATCACTCAGTGGCACCTTAACCACCTCTGTATTAGTTGCAGTGCTGAACATCTCATTTCAATTTAGCTTCTGGCTCAAACTTCATATGACTCTATCATTAATGTGGCTGTTTTTAGTTTGGAGCAAAAATAGTCATGGGCTCCAATTCAGGTCCTCAGTAACTTCAGGGGCAAAGGGTGCACTGAAAACAGACAGCAATTTGGCCGCTGTTTGCACTGAAACATTATGCATTGCAAAAAGCAACCAGAGTTGCAGCAGAAAACCTATGTGGGACTTTCACCTTGACTGGGTGCATGTTCTGGGCTGGAGCTTTGAGGTTAAAAGTGTTCAAACAAAGAAAATGAATTATGTTTAAGTGATATTTAAATACGTTTAAGCAAGCGACTGAGTTAAATAAAGCAAGATGTAAGTATACTAAGATTAAAAAATACATGAATGACATAGAAACAATCCAACAATATTTCTACAGGGAGGGGAAATTAGGATGTGGTTTAGAGTTAATTAATCATCTTTAATTTTGCAACTGACACCGGCAAGCTTTTTTATATCATATCTTCATCATATAACAAATTCTTCTTTGCTTAAATACCAGTATAAACAGGAACTGTTCACTTTAGCATGACTTACCCACTGGTTGTGTTTTTGATGTTCTTTTTGGATACGTCTTACTACGACTTCTTTCAACTGTTTGGCCAGGTCGAGGAAGGTGGACAGAAAGGTCTCTGTTCATTTGCAAAGCTGTCTTCCCACTAGGAAATGCAAAGGAGTGAACTCAGTGAATCAAAAGCAAAATACAGAGTGTGTGTGTGGGGGGGGATATCTGCATTGAGAAATAATTTATTTTAGTTCAGCTTAAAGATTCTATTTCTGAGTCTCATCCAAGTCAAGAGGCTTTTTAAATAGATAAATAGCAAAAGGAAAAATATGGCGTAGTGTCCTTTATAATAGAATAGAACAGAATACTGTAGTACTTTTTCTTCTTTCCTTTTCCTTTCTCTCAGTAAATACAGCAGGTAAGTAAAATTCTCTTTCTACTACATATTTCCCCCAGATGTTGGAAAATACACTTTATTTTTACTACAACTAAAAAATAATTCAAGCTGTAGTACAAAAAGTAACTTTTTCAAGCCAAGTTCTTTATTCCCCTAACAAGAATAATATGAACGAACTTGAAAGGATTAAAATAAATGTAAAAGCAGGAAGTTTGACTATGTTTTTCTCTCTGTCTCCTTCTACTAACTGCAGATGCTAAAGAACACACTGTGCAATTGAGTTATGCATATGTATAAGGTGGCTGGGGGTGACACAACAAGGGTCTCTGTCATTATGCCTTCTGTGGTTTGGTCCCTTGGCAAAGAAGTGCAGACCAAAGGTATCCTCTAGACCAGTGGTCCCCAACCTTGGGCCTCCAGATGTTCTTAGACTACAACTCCCAGAAGCCTTCACCACCACCTCTGCTGGCCAGGATTTCTGGGAGTTGAAGTCCAAGAACATCCGGAGGCCCAAGGCTGGGGACCACTGCCCTAGACTGTTCTATCCTGAATACAATCACCTGACTTCTTATAAACCAACTGAGATATGGCAAGTGCTAAAATTCTTTACACTTAACTCAGATCTTCAGTTTGGGAATTCAGTTCACCAAGTTTCTTCTGCCTCCCCTGCTTGATCCAGCACATGTCCACCAGCCCATCTGCCTCTGCAAGGACCAGCCTGCTTGCCTGTGCACAGTGTCCCAGCTGTGGACTGTCTGGGAGCTGGGCCAAGGCTTGACACACAGGACCACAGGCTGGTAGTGAAACCACCTCACTGAAGTGAATAAGGATCATCTGAAAGCATGGTTACTAGCAAAAGGTTCAGTTTTTCTTCTCCTAGAACGACAAGCTGCAGATCCCATGTTCTCCCAGTCCTAGCTCATAAATTATCACTATCAAAAAAAAAAAAGATATCTCTTTTCCATTGCACCCTGAACCCCACAGGAATTCACCCCCATTTAAATATTTTTCCAAGATAAATTATCCAAGATTTTATACAAAATCCTTCCTCAGCTAAGAAGAAAAGTGTCTACTCTGGCTGCAGAACTTTCAACAGGCCATGGAACAAATATATCCTGAATTAATTTCCTTGAATAAAAAGGCAAGGCTCTTGTAACTAGCAAGTTCTACTTAGCACAAGTGTTTGTGTCCAGTAGCTCCAATACAATATGTCTGAAAGAAATGGGCTGCACTTTACAAAATTATATGCAAAATAATACTTGCTAGTCTTTAAGGAGCCACAAGATATTTTGTTGTTTTTACTGCAGTAGATGAAGACCAACATAGCTACTCTTCTCAAAATTTTCTAGAGTATTTATCCTCACAAATATGTGCGCTTAACATGTCCTCAAACTGAGCAAATAAATGATGGCAAATGAGTGAGAGAATAAAGTTGAACAAACATATAAGAATTCTACCAGAAATTGTATCATTCTATATTTTCATCTGCTGTCTTAACAGTTTATCCACCATACACAATTTCATAAGCAATGTTATGGGCAGATACAGGGAAATGTTTCTTTTAAAGCACAGGTAAGCACCAGAAAATTAAACGATATAGCAAGGAAACATTTAGCAAACAAGTTAATTCCAAAAAGCTTTAAGAATGCCTCTTGGCTCTGGCATGTATCATTTTCAGGTACTTTCCAGAAGAGGTGGAGAACCTTTGGCCCTTCAGACTCTGTGGATTACACCTACCATATTCTTATGCTATTAGTCATGCTAGATGAAGTGATGCCAGCTGTGTGCAAAAAACTCCAGCTGTGAATAATAGAGAGAGGAATGGACCCATATATTCTAATAACTGTGGCTTATCAATATTGGGAATGAAAAAACCAAAACAGGACTTCAACCCAAATATCAGCACTGTAGAAGCAAGGTTCAGAGGGGTCCTGGACTTTTGAAATACTAAGAATTTTTGCTAATGGAAGACAGTGAGACCACCTGATCTGCAGCCTGCTTCAGGCTCCCCTGCTGCTTCTGAGCTTAGCTATATGCTCCACCATAAGCAGGAAGCTAAAACAACAGTTTATAGTTGTGTGCTGTCTTTATGCTAATACAAGGTAACTGGGGCAGCTTAAATGAACAATTAAAACCTATTAGCATTACAAAATTCCTGGCAGAGATAAAAATGGCTAGAACTGTTTTGTTGATAGGGATCCCCATTGCTGCTACCAGTTTTGGATTCCCCTCAGGGACACAGCTCTAAAGGAACCCTCATAATGAGCACCTTAGATTAGATTATGCATCCTTCAGTCTCGAGAGACTATGGTAACATGTTCTGTATGGGGGACTTGGAACAGCGTCAAGGGTGGCTGAGTGACAATCCCTTCCCACACTGAAGACAAATACAATTTTTCCCCTGTCCAGCTCCCTGATTTTGCTGGTTTCCGGTCTGCCTCTTTGCCTCGGCCTGCTGGACAAGCATCTCTTCAAAATGGGAGAGGCCATGCCTCCAGGCTGAATGGTCAGATGTCAAGGTTTCCCATCTGTTGAGGTCCATTCCTAAGGCCTTCAGATCCCACTTGCAGATATCCTTGTATTGCAGCTGTGGTCTCCCTCTGGGGCGATTTCCCTGCACTAATTCTCCATACAGGAGACTCCCCCTTAAAGGAATTCTCATATTGAGCACCTAAACTTCAACATTTACCACTTACAACACTGTTCAGGATCTTAATGTAATGAAAACTGGGGACACTGTAGTTAAGAATTACTTAGTTTAAATATGAATCAGTATTTCAACATTTTAACAGAATAACCATTTCACAATGGATTTATGATTTTTTTCCCTTCCGTGTTGCACAGTAAGATCTGATTAACACAATCTCAGTTTCACAAAAGCAAACCCCATAGACTTTCCAGACTTTGTTCTTAAACAATTACAGTATTCACTATGCAAAATCTTTCTAATGAGAACTCCCGGTTGCCAAAACATCAGCAGTTGAATGACTGAAACATGTTCAAGTGGATTTGTTTAATGACTGAGGAGCAATTATTTTGTATGTTTAAAAAAACCTCCAACCTATAATTAATGGGAGGCTCACATTAATATTTTCTTCAGGGACAGGTTCTGTTTTGCCAGCAGGAAGCCAAGAAACAAAGTTTAAACTTCTCCTAAACATAAGTGAACATGCATGTACTTCACTGAATCTACTTATGCACAGGTAATTGTATAAATATTTGGATCACTAGGTCTGTTATGATAAGCTTTTCCTGTGGGCATAAGTGAACATGCATGTACTTCACTGAGTCTACTTATGTACAGGTAACTGTATAAATATTAGGTCTGTTATGATAAGCTTTTCCTGTGGCCAGTGATCCTAACTGCAACAACTTTTTCCCCCACCCCTATTTAGGGTAGAAAAACAACCCTTTTATCTCCATCAAGATCATAAGAGAAGGGAAGCAGGGTAGTTAATGATACCAGTCTCCCCCCTTCCCAATAATTCCAGTTGAAATCCAGCAGCCCAGAACCCTGTCACATTACTCAGCTGATACCTGACTGGCTGAGCTGCAGGAAAAAGTGGGTGACACTTCCCAGGCCCTACAGACTTTCCCACTTGTCTCTTAAGGCATTTTGGCATGATCACTTAGAACACATTTTAGCTGTTGTATTTCATAATACTCTGCATATTCACTTTCGCAAACAGTGGGAGCGGTTGAGTTCAGGCAATTTTTTTTTAGCTGTACCTATTTTAAAATAACCATGTGCCTTCAAGTCAATTCTGATTTATGGCAACCCTTCACAGGGATTTCTAGGTACAAAGTACTCAGAAGTGGTTTACCACTCCCTTCTTCTGGGGGCATCTGGGACTATGCAGCTTGCCCAAGGCCACACAGGCTGGCTGTACTCGCAGGAGGCACAGAAGGGAATCAAATTCCCAAACTCCGGTTCCGCAGCCAGGTACCTAACCCACTGAGCTATCCACTCAGCTATGTACCTTTTTATAATACCTAAAAGATATCTAGAACTAAATGTTCTAGTTATTTTTAAAAAACACACAAGCAAATGTTTAATTAAAGGATGAAGGTAACAATAAGTTTGACTTACCTATACCGATGTTTATAGCCTAGAGTGCCTAGTTTGCCAAGTTTTCTTGTTAGAGAGTTCGCCTCATTTTCTGGCATTCTGTTTCAATTTAAAAAAAACGTCCCATAATTGCACATAACACAGCTGAATTTATGAAGCAATGCAAAAAGCAGAAGGAAACACAGATTGTTGTACATGCCTTTTTACCACTCTTTACCTCTTTGCCCAATGAACAATGCTTTTTGTTTACAACTTTATAAAATTTAAAATTTGGACTGGTGAGGCAGGGAAATTGTAGCTAGAAGGGAAGTCACATTTTTCATGTTTATTTCTTAGCAAGAACTCACAGAAAGTCATGCTTATGTTCCATTTTAACAGATTTCAAAAGTACAGTATTTAATCACAACTAAGAGCACTTTCAGGTGGATGTTTATACAGCTTCATTCTGACCACTTCCCTCCTGAACCCTCTAGCTGTCTTCAGAGAGTCCAGTGCCTGGGAAGTATTGGCTAGCTGGCTTCTCTCTCTCTCTCTCTCCCTCTCTCTCTCTCATTCTCCATTCCAGGAAATGAACAGACAGCTCATGGCAATATGAGACAGACTGGTAGGGAGAAATGGAGAGACACTGCCACACATCGTTCCTTCCTTTTTCTCACAACACATCCATGGGGGAGTCCCTAACCCCTCCAAAATTAATACCACCATGTTTCTTCCCTCATTTCCTTCCATCATTTCCATTTTTAATGACTATGGAAGCATCATAGCACTAATCTCTCCTTTTTGATGCAAAAAGGCTATGATTCTTTAAAAAAGAAAAGAAAAAAATACATGGAACTGAAAAGGGAACCTTAAACTCTGGTATAAATCAGAGCAAAATAAACCAAGGGGTTTTGGAGGGACCAAATGTTCAAACAAAATGTGGGGGGGGGGAGGACTTGTATATAACTTACAATATTTTGAATGAAGGAACTTAAAGGGGTGATAATACATTATCTGAAAAAGCTCAAATTCTCTCTCAATCCAGAACAAAAACCAGCGATCCTGATGTGTATTTCTACATAGTGGCTGAAATCCTGTTGCTTAGTCATATCAAGTCACAATTAATGGCACTTATGCAAGGATTGACTCACCAAATCCTCAGTGATCATATAGGCCAACTCTAATTGTGACTCCCCCTTCATGGATTGCTACCTTGTCATGGCGAAGGGGCTTGAGTAATTCAGAGAAGGTATGGCCTATGCTCTGCAGGGACACCCAAGACGGAAAGGTCATAGTGGAGAGTTCTGGCTAAACGCGATCCACCTGGAGCAAGAGTGGGCAAGCCACTCCAGTATCTTTGCCAAGAAAACTCCATGGACAGAAACAAAAGGCTAAAAGATATGACGCTGGAAGATGAGCCTCTCAGGTCAGAAGGCATCCAACATGCTATTGAGGAAGAGCGGAAGACAAATACAAGTAGCTCCAGAGCTAATGAAGTGGTTGGGCCAAAGCTGAAAGGACGCTCAGCTGCGGATGCGCCTGGGAGTGAAAGGAAAGTCTGATGCTGCAAAGAAAAATACTGCATAGGAACCTGGAATGTAAGATCTATGAACCTTGGTAAGCTGGATGTGGTCAAACAGGAGATAGCAAGAATAAACACTGACATCCTGGGCATCAGGGAATTAAAATAGATGGGAATGAGCAAATTCAATTCAGACTATTGTGGGCAAGAATCCTGTAGAAGAAATAGAGTAGCCCTCATAGTCAACAAAAGCATGGGAAAAGTTGTACTGGGATATAATCTCAAAAATGATAGAATGATTTCAATATGAAT